TGAGAAGCATCAACCGTAGAAATATTTATTTAGTGTAGAAGAAATACAAACAGAGCCATGAGGCCCTTATTACAAGATTTCTATTTTCTAAAACTAGAAACTAAATATAAGTGAAACAGTAATATTAAAATTGAACTTTCTTCAGAAGAAACAACATTTTCATTCTACACAGTCAGGTATTGTGGAAAATAAACAAAATTTCAAGGCAATCAGATATTTTCTGGTTACGAGAAATTCTGCGTTCAACAATAGAGCCTGTATATAAAAGTTGTTTGGTACTTATAGGTAAGTGAAAACACGAAGAAAGGAGGTGAATTTTTATTGGTTTGATCATGCTAATGAGGAAACAGTCAAAAATATACAAACAATGGACATTTATACCTACGTATAATCAGGGCGTATATCGAATGAATGCGACTGGTCAAATCGTCACTGCTGAACCGTTGATTGAGGTAACTAACCAATACCTCAATCAACGGCTGAACGAATGATGTGTTGTGTAGGTTATACCATTGAGTATTCACACTAATTAAATCATCGAGGGTTATACAAACATGGACGATATGCAACGAAAGTGATGTGTACTTATAGTTCGAGGTATGATTGACATCAGGGTTCTTAGCAAGTTTTCGATAAAATTAGGAGGGAAACACCTCAGTACAACAATATTACAAAAATATAAAATGTTCAGAGTTCGTTTCTGCTACGCGGTATAAAGAGTATCTCTTTCCACTTTGTGTGTAATATCCACTGAGAAAATATGGTTAACTAAACCACTTAATTGCAATTTCAGTAGTACCGATAATTAAAAATATTGAGATTTTCATTGACAACAACAAAAAACCTCTATTCCCCACAAAACATATTGCTATTTTCACTTCACTATTCATTATTGATGAAAATTTTAATTACGATAGAATTATTTCAGTGCTGTCCATCAGGTTAATTGAAGCTTCTCGTTGGAGTAATGAACTCTTATTCTAGGGTTACAATGAACAGATATCTATTTGCCACAACTAATATGACATCAATCAGAAATTTTCTATGATTATTCACAGCAAACATATATTAGCCATAACTTGAAGTTACTGACTCGGGACATTTCGAGACCGATTCAAGCAAACTTCGCGATATATATTGTTTCTTTCTATACCGACAATCTGACGAAGTTGCAAGTTCATAGTTCCTGATCGTTTTGAGTGAGATTTCGATTTTACTGTTATGCATTCACTTACCTATAAACTTCAGATCTACTAGGGGTTAGAATATAATCAGAGAAACTGTATACATTTTAACTCATCATTCATTTATTGCAACAAAAACTATCTGTGATGATAACTACATTGTTTGTTGGGACAACTAATTCATTCGTTTGATACGAATACAATCAATCTGCTACAAATACCATCAATCTGCTACAATAATTATTGTCAGTAACCCTAACTGAATATCCTAATCAATACTAATAGAAACGTAGTCTTCCGAACCAAGGACAATTATTGACAGCAAAAACCTTGTTAATGAAACAACTGAGCTTTCCATTTGGTTCAAATAGGTGTTTGCAAAAAATCGAAATTACTTGCAGCAACAACATAACCTTGCTGTCCCCTATCGTACAATTTTTTTTGCCGTAGTTACTATATTTTTAGTAATGGCCACAATTTGTTTTCCTCAGTGTACGTTGGACAACTCTTGTTAGGGTCATATATACCAACTATAACTCGCAGTTATACGTATACAAAGATGTGTCGTAGCACTCCATATCGTTTTTCCACCATGGAAAAACTAATACAGCTGAAAATTACGAGCAATATCCTCCTCATTCGCTTTTTGCTTTCATCAGGACCCCCACCTCTCGCCCCACCCTATTGTTGTAGATTCGATATTTCATCGTCATTGTGTACCTACCTGCTCCATTAGCGACTGAATCGATAAATTGAATAATATTTCAGAGTCACTATATAGGTAAACGAACCTCAACATTTCTTTCATTTTCTCATTTCCCAATATAAAAAAAGACGTAGTATTCAACTATCGAATCATTCATGTATTTGCTAACTCGATTTTGTGATGAACATATCAAGAGAGTGATGATTATAGTAAGATATATTCGGTGGTAAGATGGACTAATAATATGACATCAAATCGTCTCGTCAAATTCAAATAGGTGTACCTTCTTTTGAATTGACTCGGCCGTTACTCTATCCCACCATCAATAATAATCAAAATTATAGAACTTCAACCTATTCGGGATCATAAATCGAAAAATTAGCTTCATTTCTACATAAACAGGACTTGAAAGTGGCATATAGAACAAATAAAATCTTGGGAAGGTTAATCAAAAATGATGTCAGCGCATTCATCAACATGAGATGAATATTTGTGAGAGAAAACAAATTCAACATGCGCCAACCATATATTAGAAAAAAAAAAATAGTTCCGATGAAAATGTCGAAATTCTACACGAAGAAAATAAAGTAATAGGAACACCATGAATTTGTTCCTAAGTAAGTGATAATATGTATTTTCTATCAACCCTTTCAAGTTAATCCGTTACACCGTATTTTGATGTAGATATTGTGCCTCTTTTCCGATAAAAAGGTTCATCGATCCTTTCCACAGGAATTCTCATCCTTCAGGTTGGGAATATAAAATAGTATAGGCAAGCCAAGGTTGGTTTGTCATTGTACCAGTATTTCACCTGATGAAGCTACTGTGTTGGCGAAACATGTCGTGTTACTAAGAATTTTGTGAAAATCTCAACGTTTGTAAAATTTTACATTATAGGTAGATACCTACCCACAAAACATGATACATAACAAAAATATTTTTGAATTATACGTTTTGTGATATTGTTGAAATACCATTGCTATAATATCCTTATTCTGAAGTATCCAACATAATATATAATGGAGTAAAACAATTATGAGACGTTGCATCAATATTGACATCAATATACCATCAGATAAAATTGTGATACATTGATTTTAGGTTCATCAGATATATCTCAGACAGAGTTTTTATGTTATTTGTGCAACGTTTTCGTTTCACCACCTTATAACGTATAGCTCACATGTATACAGGATACAAAAAGATAATATTTTTTCTTCTACGGCAAAGTAACCTTGTCAACTGTCAAAAGTCAATTCAATTCCACTCCAGCCATTTTGTTGTCTATCGATATGCGGGATGGTTCAAGATTCAGAATTCTTATCACCCTGTATCTGTTCCAATTAAATGTCAGGTCAGGTCAGCCGTTTTGACCAACAATGAATAGTTGGTCAAGTTGATAAAGTTGAAAAATCTCGATTTTGAACAGTTTATATCCCTGAAACCATTACAGCTAGACCCCAAGTGTGATGCATTGATGAAATCAGCTCTTCGGGGAGAATCTGAAAATGCAATAAAATACAAGGTGTTCCATATGAAATAGCAAAATTGTTGCTTCTTTTCGTTAGAACGATGTCCTCCTCGAAAATGTAGTTGATGTGTTTTAGATTCTTTTCATGATCCGTTTTTGGCGACCTACAGAGCCTCTGTTTCGTTTTCAAAGGCCCACTCTGTACATATACTTTGGATTCAATGATTCATATATCAAAACAATAATACTTTGAATACAATGGGTTTGTACACATCAGTAGTCGAATTTAC